GAAGATAGGAGAGGAGAGGAAAAGACCAGAAAGGAGAAGAGAAAACAAGAGATGAGAGGAAAGGAGAAGAGAGGACAGGACAAGAGAGGACAGGAAAGAAGAGGAAAGGAGAAGAAAGAAGAGGAGAGGAGAAGATAACAGATGAGAGGAGAAAAGACAAGATGAGAAGACAGGAAAGGAGAGGAGAAGAGAGAAGAGGAGAGGAGAATTCAGGAGAGGACAGAACAGGAGAGAAGAGGAGAGAAAAGGAGAAGATAAAAGAGGAGAGGAGAGGAGAGGGGAGGAGAGGACAAGGAGTTTGAGGAACAGAAACTGGGCTGGGAGAAGGTGTAGAAGGAGAGCTGGGTATGCAAAAGATTTGGTGAAATTCAAAGGAACTCTGTGAAGAAGAATAGTTTGGGGGCCGAGGGAGAGGGGACCCTGTCCAAAGAGCACAATCACACACGATTAATAGAAAGAACTGAGACACACGTGTGTGCAAGCACCTCATCCCCACAGGGCTTTCTCACAAACTTGCTGCAGTTTCCTCTGCCTAGAATGCTGTTCCTTCCTCCTTGTATTACCCTCAACCACTGACCTCAATCTCTGTCTATTGAAATCTTCTCCATCTACCACCTTCTTGATGCCCTTGGTTGGACATTTTCTTTCTCTTCTGTAAAATCTCAGCGTATTTTGTTTATACCTGTCTTGGGCACTTAACCATCCACCATGTATGACAGTTACTTAAGACAAAGACTCATCTTATTTCCCCTGCTAGTTTGCAAACTCCATGAGAATAAGAATCCTAGGGATTCCTTTCTACATAGCAAGCACTTCATAAGTATTTGTGGAATGAATGAGTGAATGACTGCTCACACACTTAACACACCCTGTTGGGCCTCTCAGGCCCACCCAGACGCTGTAGTCTTACAGTCACACACAGACCTATGTTCTATGTCAGAGAGAAAGTCACACCCACAGGCAAGACTTCCCTCCTCCTCTGAGAAAGGCCAGGGGTCCTCTTCCACCCTGGGTTAGTGTTCTGCCCCTAATGAAGTGCAGTGTCTTTCTTGGACAGTGAGGAGGAGCTGACCTTGACCCGGGAGAATTCCATCCGCAGACTTCACTCCCACCATGCAGAGCCACGGAACCAGGTGGGTGGCAGGTGTCTTTGTACATCTTCACATGTGTTTGGATACGTGTGTGCATGCCTGGGTCACCTTTGTATGGATGAGTGATAGGCAATAGCTGAAAGGTCCTTCCTGTCTTGGCCTGCGTATTGCCTTATGAGTGGTCAGAGTATAAAGATGGAGGGAGTAGAGCTCAGGGGACCCGGTCTGGTTCCATCGGTTTGACTGATCTCCATTGGCAGCAGTCCTAGGAAAGACTGAGGTTCTATCATCTGGGGCTTGGATACTCAGTATCCAAGGGCTTTGGAATTCTTTGGAGGGGGCAGATCAAGGTGGAAACAGACCTATCCCCCTTGGGAAATGCAACCTTTATCTCTAGTGGAGTGGGTGACTCAGGGCTGGTCAAGACCCTGGGATAGGGGGCCAATTATCAAAGGATTGAGCCCCTTCTGGTGAGACCAGTCTGGAACCAAAGCCAATGCTATTCAGGTACTGAGGCCCTGATGGCATTTCAATGACAGAAGGAGGCTTCCTCTTAGCCAGCATCTGAAGGAAAGAGGAGGGGGAAGCAAGGGGAGGAGGTGGGAAGGGAACGATAGGATGGACTGGGGCTAGGAGATAAGGTCAGGGACAGGGGAGGGGAGGAGGCCAGAAGGGCAAAGACCTCAAGGGTCAAGGTTGGAAGGGAGGAGGTTGAGGGGAAGAGGTTGGGTTCGGGGAGGAGGCTGGAGCCTTTCTCTGACCCCTTCCCCTTGTCCCGGCCCTGCAGCCCGAGGAGAATGTAGGGCTTCGAGCTGAAGGCCACCCTGATAGTCTCAAGGACAACAGTAGCTGTTCTGTGATGGTGAGGCCCGGCCCCACCTGGGTCCTTCTAATCTCCCTTCCTTACCACTCCCCTACCCCATCGCTCCTCCAGGTCAGCTTAGGTACCCTGTATCTCTCCCTACCACACTCCACTCTGCCTCAGCCCCATCCTTGGCTGTAACCCAGACCCATAATTCTATTCTGCCTTCAATCCCCGCTCCCAAATGACCAACACTAAATGAAAGGAAGTAGAGCAACGGGCACCCCACGGCCTTAAACCCCAACTTTTGCCCCATCTAAACATATCTCCTGCCACTGACCTACCTGACGTCTGAGCCCACATTGTCCCTGGCCCCTCTGATCTCCCCACGTTCCTGGCCTTTGACCCCCTGACCCGATATCTTGACCTTGACTTTGAGCCCTACCGTAATACTGACCCCTGACATGACCTAGTTCTGGCACTGTGCCAACAGAGCGAAGAGCCCGAGGGCCGAAGTTACTCCACTCTGACCACGGTGAGGGAGATTGAGACCCAGACCGAGCTGCTGTCCCCAGGCTCCGGCCGGACAGAAGATGAAGAAGATCGAGATGCTGGGATCAAGCAGGCCATGACCCACTTTGTTCAGGAGAATGGGACTCTTCGAGCCAAGCCCACAGGCAACGGCATCTACATCAATGGACGGGGACACCTAGTCTGACCCTCTGCCAGGCCTCTGCCTCAACTGTCCAGCGGCCCTCCTTGGACCCACGTTGGGAGATATTTGCATGCCCTTGCACCTAGCACCCCTGAAACAAAGGCCTGTGACCCTGTTGACTTCTGGCCTACTCCCAGGCCCCTTCCCCAGCTTCTCTTTAGAGGTGCCCCTCTGGGTATGGCCTCTCCTGGTGCTAGTCTTTGTGCATGTGTACATGTGTGCGTGAGCGAGTGCATACATGTGTGTGCGCGTGCATGTATGTGAACACAAGATTGAGTATATTTGAATGATTGTGGTTTGGATGACTTTATATGTGTATCAGTGTACAGGTAAGTGTGTGTGTGTGTGTGTGTGTGTGTGTGTGTGTGTGTGTGTGTGTTCTGGTGATCACCTTTGGTCATTGCCTGTGTACATGGACTAGACCCTCAGACCCTAGAGCAGTATTATTGAAACAGAGGAGAGGTGGGGGCTGCACCGAGGGAAGTGGATCCTGGGGGACGGTCCCCGGCAAGGGGCTGGGGGACGGCCTGATCAAGGAGCTGGCCTCTCTCCTGATTGTGGGAGCAGGGCTCCCTCTGGCTGGCTGCGGAGAGTGGCACCATGTTTGGCTTGGGTGGTTGGCAGTGCCCGCTGGCTGCTTGCAGAGCCCGCCCTCTTGTGGCACAGAGAGACTGGTGCAAGGATGAAATTTTCTGAAATGTTGGCTCACAAGATTCAGAGCCAGGAGGGACTTCTACCTTCCCTTCCCACTTCACAGATAAGGAAACCCGAAGCCCAGAATGGTCAAGTGATTCACCCAAAGTCACAGAGGCAGTAAACATCTGCAGCGGCACTCGAACCAGGGACAAGTGCTCTTCCCGTTGTACCACATTGCCTCCCTTGCTTGTAAATAGGACTTTTTGTAAGTTTAATTCCACGTTAAATATTTTAGGGAAGCTTGCTATTTAAGGGATTGCTGCAGTAAATCCTTTTTCTAAGCAAAAGGCATTTCTCTGAAAAAAAAAATAATTGTATAAGGTTTGGTCTCATCTCTCCCCATGCTGCTCCACACAGCCCTTTCTGTGTCTTCCTCTGTTTCTCTAGCTACCAAAGTACTAGCTTGGGGGAGCACCAGAACCAGGGTTCCTGGGTTGTAATTTGCAATACTGGCAAGGGAATATAGAGCTGGGGGAAGGTAGAGGAGGGTCACAGTTTGGGTGAATGGGGGTGGTTTAGGCAGGAACAGCCCTCTTCTCCTGGGAATTTCTGTCATTGAACCTCTGACATCCAGATAGCAGTTCCCATAGACAGCTAGGGCTAGAGGGTGGTTGTGGTCCCCAAGGCTCAAGCCCTTTCTTGGGCCTCTCCTGACAGTCATGGACACACAGACCCAAGGTCTTCATTAAGCATGAAAAACCCCGGTTTGGGGGAATATGCCAAATGCCCTGAGTTTTGTTTCCTCACCCTACCTCAGAGGACTGGGGGAGATGGTGTGTGTGTGTGTGTGTATGAACAAAGACAAAGATGCCTACTCACTTTCCTGGCCCTCTTGGACAGCCTGGAGTTTGAGGGAGTGACCTGGCAGAACATAGGTCTGATCTGTAAATAGTGTGAATAGTACTGTAGAAGTAGTGTAAATAGTTTACAGCCCGGCCCTCCCTACCCCTAACCCCCTTCATAAATAAAGCTCTCCAAACTTGTCCTGCCTCTTTCTTGCCGTTCCTCTCAGAGACTGACTCCTCTGATCTTTGCTACCCTGGCCTTCCCTCGATCCCGAAGCATCACTTCCAAGGCCTCTGACCCTGTCTCAGGGAAAAAAAAACATGCCCAGCTTGTAGAAGGGGAGCATCTAAAAGACTTTAGTCTTTTCCAAGTTTCTCAGCTGAGACAGCGGGGCCCAGAGATTCTTGCATCATTGGGTCCATCTCTTGGCATCCCCCAATGATAACCTAGTCCTTTGTCAGTGGTACCACCAGGGCCCATAGCTCTTGTATCTTCCTTTTTTCCCCAATATCCACCAGTGAGCAGGAGGCTTGGGCTCAGCCTGTGCCGCTGCTTAGCTCTGTGACTTTAGATAAGTCATTTTCCTCTTTGTAAAATGAGGGGGTTGGAGTAGGTGATCCCTAGGACTCTTTCCAGCTCTAACATGCTTTGATTCTATGATTTTAGGATGTGTGTCTATCAGCCCCCGCCCCACCCCCTACCTCTAGCTGCCCCACCCCAGACCCTGTGGTTGCAAGTGATGCTCTAACAGGAAGCGGGTTTGGGGAGCTGCACAGCTTCCTGCTTCCCAACCCCCACCCCCACCCAAGGGCTGAGTGAGGCGAGAAGGGTGAGCACCAGGCCCAGCCACGAGACGACACTTCTCATTAGGGCTCCGTCAGCTTCCTCCTCCACAGCCACTTCCGTGAGGCCAGGGGCCTGAGAAGCAAGAGGAGCTCAGCCCAGGGCCCAGCCCCCCTGCCTGGGCCAATCCCTGGAACAGCTGGAGTGGGGCTTGTGGGACAGGGGTGGCTGGAACTTGGCTTGGGGTCCCATGGGGGAGGTGTAAGGTGAGCATCTTGGGAGGGGAGGCTGGGACCCCTCAGCTCCGGCCATGAAGTCTCGGCAGAGGGGGAAGAAGAAAGGCGGATCGAAGGAGCGGGTGTTTGGGTGTGACCTTCTGGAGCATCTACAGCACTCAGGCCAGGAGGGTAAGGGCTTTGGGCACGGTGGGCCTGGGGGGAGGGGAGCGACAGGTAGAAGTGGCCAGACAGGGATGCCCAGGGCTAATCAGGATTAAGGATCCTGGAGTAGGTTCTGGGTCCTCTTGAGAAAAAGAGCTGGTAGGCCAAGAGTCTTCACTGAGCAAGGCACACCTTGTATCACTCTCCAGTCTGGTATGTTAAGGGTACAAGAAGGCTGAGAGGACAAGGGAGGCTTTGAGGAGGAGAGGTTGAGGACACAAGTGGCTAAGGGAAAAGAAGACCTGGTTGACAGAAATGGGAGAAGCTGAGAGCGGCAAGTAGGTATATCAGCACAGGAGAGACTAAAGGATGGGCTTTAGGACTTAGGGGATGAACACCAAGGAAGGCTGAAAAGAGATAGGGTTATGGTGGCTTGGAAAAAGGTGATTCATAACAGAGCTGGACCAAGAAGCCATAGAGACAGTAGGGTTAGCCCCTTTGCAGCCTATGCTGGGCTTACCTGGAGGGGCCAGGGAGATAAGGTCCTCCTTTCTGGGCCCTTCTGTTCTAAACGTGTAAATGGGGCCCAAAGGGAAGATAAGAATAGGCCCATTATGGTGAGGTGGTACTGCAGAGAAGGATTGAGGATGGGCCTTGGAGGCCTGGATGGGTAGGACTAATATGAATTCCATATGCACTACCGCCCATCCACCTCCACTCCATTTCAGCATCTTGGCAGGATCAAAATCAGACTCAGCAGATAACTCATCATCTAGGACCAGACCCAGGGCATCCTGGCTGCCTAGCTGACTTCTCCCCTGCCCGAGAAACTTGGGGCTCCTCCCAGAAAGAGGCACAGTTGTATTCTTCCCTCCACCACCCCCCAATCTGTCATTTCCTCTTCTTCCCTTCGATCCCCTACACTGTCAGCAAAGGGGTGGTGGTTGTAGTGGGGTGGGGAGAGTTCCCAGCTCATTTCCGGTCCTCAGCCCTTCTACCTCGAGTTCCCAAACCACCTTGTTCCCCTTTTGTCCTCCCCTAGAGGGGAGCCCCTCATCCCAAGACTCAAATCATGAGGAGGCATACTCCAACCTTTGAATCTCTAGCTAGATCTCCCTCTCCTACTAGGTTTGAGATCACACCCCGACAACCTGATTCCAGATTTATCCCCGTAGAGAAGATTTAATTTGCATATTCATTATTTATGACCAAAAGGGGGAAAAGTCCTAGAATTGAGGCCTGCTTTCCAGTTTTTGCTGTTGCCCCTTTCCTCAGCTCTTCCAGCTTCTCTCTATGTTTTGATGCTAGTACTCACTTATTCTCTCACCAGGGTGAATGCTTGATTCATTGAGTCAGAATGTTTGGAGTTCCCTTTGAGGGGAGTGAGGAAGGGAAGCTGATACTGGGTAGGATCCAGGGCAGATTCTGAACTCTGGATCAGTTGGCAACAGTGAGACTGCGAACATTCATGTGAATGATCTGGGGTCTTAGTGGACGGCAAGCTCAATATTAGTAAGCATTATTAGATGTCAGCCAAAAGAGCAAATGCCATTGTTGGGTCTATTAGGAGAGGCTTCATGTCCAAGCTGAGGGTACCCTGTCCACCACCAAGGTCAGATCATATCCAGAGTACTGTGTTAAATACTGAGCACCACATTTTAGGAAGGACTCTGGCAAGCTGGAGTGCGTTCAGGGAAGGGTGACCAGAACAAAAATGGGCCTGGAGATCATGCTATTTGAATGGTATTATAGAAAGAGCGAAGGTGTTGGGGTCTAGAAAAACCAATATAAAATCCAGTTCCTAACAGCTCCTTATATTCACTAACTGTGTGACTATGGGCAAGTGACGTAAGCCTCAGTTTCCTCATCTGTAAAATGGGATATTAATACTTGTGGTATTTCTCTTTGTGAGGAGTGAGATACTATCTCTCAAGTTCTTTGCGAACTTTGAAGAGATATACAAATGTCAGCTGTTATCATTGTCAGTTGAAAAAAAACTGAAATTGTTTAGCCTGGAGAAGACTTAACAGAGTTATAGCTTCTGTTGATTTGTGTGTTTGAAGGCCTGTCACATACAAGAAGGATTAGACTTTCTGCTTGGGCCCAGAAGGCTAAACTATTAGCAAGAGCTAGATGTTGCAGAGAAGCCAATCAGGGAAAGCTTCCTCGAAGTCAGAGCCATCCAAGAGTAAAACAGGGCAGTCGTGAGTTGGGAGGTAGTGAGTTCTCCATCACTGGCAGCCTTCAAGTAGAGATTAGCTAGCCACTCGTAAGTTATGTTGCAGAGGATTTCCTGTTCTGGTGCATATGGGTTGGAGTAGATGCCTTCTGAAGTCTCTTTCAAAGCTGAGATTCTGGGATTCTAGTATTCTCTAACTAAGGGTAGGTTTGTACAGCCTTTTCTGACTTTTTTCTTTTCCTCTCCTGCCCCTCCCCCCCCCAAAAAAGAAAATTAGGCGAGAACTCACTGGCCCTGGGGAGAAAGGATGGTGGTATATAAAAAGGTCTGGACGTCAAGTACCTGAGTTGTGCCCCTGACCTTCCCCTCCCCACCTTAATTTACTGTTTTCTCTTCACTCCTTTATATGGGTGTCTTTGGTCACAACCTCTATTATCCTCTCTGCCTTTTCTTTCTAATTCACAAATCTTTTGCAATCTCAGGTTTGTGTCCCCCAACTCTGGGATCCCCAACCTTGCTCCCTATTTCTCTAATCCCTCATCACTGTATCTGAACCCCATCTTCTTGACTATATTTCACTGACCTAGGATCTTTTTGATCTCCTGTCTCCTTGTCCTATCTTTACAATACCTCTTGGCTAATTCTGTGTGGCCTTGGATAAGCTGCTTCAATTCTATCCAACAAACAATTATTAAGTATATATTATCTACAAGGGACTGTGCTAGATGATGGAAATACAAAGCGATGAAACACTTCTTGCTTGAAAGAAGTTTCAATTCTACTGGGTTTGGAGGGGGTAGGGGGCAGGAAGGGCAGGAATCCAACATGTACTCAGAGAAGTAGAGCAAAAGGCAGGGAGTAATAGGGGCAAAGGAGAGTTCTAGAAAAAATTCTGTGGGAATATTTGAGAAGGGAGACATTTCAACTGGGGGAGGGGAGGGGAATCAGCAAAAAACAACAAAATCGATAGGATCATGGGGAAAGTGGCACCCAAATAGATCGTTGAAGAAAGAGAAGGCTTCCGAGAGGTGGGGAACGAGGCGGTACATTCTAGGCATGAGAGGCATGGACTGTGTGAAGGCACAGAGGTGACTGATAGAATGTCAAGTTTGGGGAGCAGCTAATGGAGCATTTTATCTGGAATGTATAATCCATGAAGGGAAGTAACATGAAATAAAGCTAGGAGGAAGGCCTGGGGCTAACCTTAAATGCCAGGCTGAAGAGTTCAAACTTTATCCTGAAGGTTTTTGAAGGGAGAGACGTGAAAGCGGAGGAATTAATTAGGATGTTATTAGAAGAGAATAATGAGGAGGAGGAACTAGAGGGGTGGTTGTCTGAATAGAGAACAGGGGACAGACATGAATCGGTAGTTGAATCAACACGACTTGTCAGCCGACACACGGGGGGTGGAATTGAGTGAGAAGGAAGAGTCCAGGATGACCCTGAGATTCAAACCTACATGCCCAGGAGGAAGGTGGTCTAGAAGTAGGGAAAGGGACAGAAGAAAATAGGCTTAAGGACAGAGATGATGAGTTCTATCTTGAATGTGTCGAATTTGAGATGCCTTTTGGACATCCACTTGGAGACGTACATTAGGCATAAACGTGAAGACTTGGAGAAGATGAGAGATACACAATTAAGTCTTTATAAAGACTTTCGTGTCCTTTGTATGGAGGCAGTAACTGAACCTATTGGAGTTGATGAGATCACCAATTGAGAGAGTGTAGAGAATGGTTATTGGAGATCTCACAATTCAGAGTTGGAAGGGACTTTAGAGATCCCCTAATCCAAAATGCTTCATTTTTAAAAAGAGGAACTAAGACTTGGAGACGTGAAGGAAATTTCCAAAGGTCAC